TAAAAATTCAAGGGCCCAAATGGAAATTCAAGGGCCCAAATGGAAATTCAAGGACCAAAATAGAAATTCAAGGATGCAAATGGAAATTCAAGAACCCAAATAAAAATTCAAGGGCCCAAATGAAAATTCAAGGGCCCAAATGGAAATTCAAGGGCCCAAATGGAAATTCAAGGGCCCAAATGGAAATTCAAGGGCCCAAATGGAAATTCAAGGACCCAAATAGAAATTCAAGGACCCAAATAGAAATTCAAGGACGCCAATGGAAGCTACAGAAGCAAATGGAAACTTCAGGAAATAACTCGGGAAATACGTAAATTACCCACCAACTCAAAACAATCAAAGTGGCTTATTTCCACTGGGGTCCTTGACTTGCAAGATACCATAGTGATGCTGTGTCAGCATCACCATGGTATCTTGCAACACAAAACACTTGGTATACTCTTGCCTGCAGCATTAATGACGATTTTGTGGTCATTTTCCTGCCCAGAGTCGCCGGTCGACACCATCACTGGACACGTCCTCATGACGCACTTATTAAGCTTAAAGAAAACCTGTTGTTGTTGACTCGGCAAGTTGTAACTTTATTTATTTATTTATTTAGTAATTTTAGCATACAAAAAGAGGTACAAAAAAATACAGGTAAGAGCAGCATGCCAAAGCCACTTATATGCATAGCATTATGGGCTGGCTTAAAATTAACTTAAGATTAACTAAGCAATGATGAAATAAGTGATAAAACATTATTGTAAACAGATAACTATAAAGCACAAATGAGTATTACAAAGACAGGTCATATGGTTGCATGCTTTGCTGTACATTCAGTAGAATGGAGTATTCTGTTAGGTAGTGTATTTAAAAAAATAAAGTTAGATTGGGTCCTAGGTTTAACATTTGTGTGATATAATTGTGAGTAACATTTAGGATATACAATTTATAAGGTTCAGTTATTCAGTATTTATTTGGTTTTGAGTGAGTAAGTGATCTTTGAGAAGAGACTTGAATTTATAAACAGGTAGTGTTTCTTTTATATTTACAGGTAATGAATTCCAGATTTTAGGGCCTTTTATGTTAGTTAGTTTAATATGTTTATTATGCACCACATACCCATCCAGTGCGCGGTAGTCAAAAGATTACAGAGGTACATAATTGGTCCAGGGACTGGACTCCAAAGTTTTGATAGCTGAGCAAGTTACAGAGGTAATGAACTCACAATTTACAAAGGTAATGAACTCACAATTTACAAAGGTAATGAACTCACAATTTACAAAGGTAATGAACTCCAGGTAGGTCTAGTCACAATCATGACAAGTTACAAAGGTATTTACAGATTACAGAGGTACACAATGGGTCCAGGAACCGGGCTCCAAAGTTTTGATGGCTGAACTAGGTACAAGGTAATGAACTCACAAGTTACAAAGGTAATGAACTCACAAGTTACAAAGGTAATGAACTCACAAGTTACAAAGGTAATGTTGAGTTTTTGCATAGTGTGAGATGGACACGAGGAACATCAAAGAGTGATCTGTGCCTTGTGTTATGGTCATGTGTTCTGTTGAGGTTGGCAAGGAGATGTTTGAGGGGAGGGTTAATATCAGAGTTAAGTGTTCTATGTATGTAATAGGTGCAGTAATAAGTATGAATGTTTTGTATGGTGAATAGGTTTAGTGTATTGAATATTGGTGGAGTGTGTTGCCTATAGTGAGAATTTGTTGTCATTCTAACTGCAGCCTTTTGTTGGGTAATTAGTGGTAATTAGTGTTTGACTCTGATTTTTGTTTTAATAAGTCGATGTAAGTTTATTTAGGTACAGATACGTAATACAGTGGCCCGGTGGTCTGGTGGCTAAAGCTCTCGCTTCACACACGGAGGGCCCGGGTTCGGTTCCCGGCGGGTGGAAACATTTCGACACGTTTCCTTACACCTGTTGTCCTGTTCACCTAGCAGCAAATAGGTACCTGGGTGTTAGTCGACTGGTGTGGGTGGCATCCTGGGGGACAAGATTAAGGACCACAATGGAAATAAGTTAGACAGTCCTCGATGACGCACTGACTTTCTTGGGTTATCCTGGGTGGCTAACCCTCCGGGGTTAAAAATCCGAACAAAATCTTATCTTATCTTACAAATTATCATACATATGCAAAATAACCACCTGGGAAGTTGAGGGAGTTGAATGATAAATCTGAGACTTTCGTGTTGCTATGAACTCATCATCAGGAGGTTGCAATGTTGCAGAAATAAGCAGGAAATCCAGGAAGGTCCATTTATGTGAATGTTTTTCCTGAATTTCCTACTCTATTTTTGTAGCATTGCTTGTGATGATGTTGCAACGAGAAATGCTTAACCTAGAGTTATCATTCATCTCCCCACAGTGGTTGTTTTGCATCTTGTATTACTTGTTCACGATTACTACATAGTAAACATATGTGTTATATTATTTATCATTATTCTTGCTGTTTTTAAAGTCCACAGAGCCAGACACCTACTTAAAACTTCCTCCGAATCAACAACACCCAATGGAAATAAGTCACTCAGTCTGACTTTTTTGGGTTATCCCAGGTTCTCTATACACATGCTGCTATGTATGATAATTCTATGTAACTGTATTTGTGTATACCTGAATAAACTTACTTACTAATAACAACAGGTTTCTTAAACAACAGAAACAACCCATCAGAGCCTGACATTTACAATCTCCTGAGTCAACAATAACAGGCCCAATGGACTTAAGTCACTTTGTCTGGCTTTTTTTTGGTTATTCTAGGTTCTTTATACTTATGCTGCTACGTATGATAATCTATAAAACTGTATTTGTGGATTCTTGAATAAACTTACTTAGGATAACCCCAAAAAGTTAGACAAAGTGACTTATCTCCATTGGGTCTGTTATTGCTGATTCAAGTAGTTATAAATATCAACCTGTTGTTGTTGACTCGGGGAGGTTAAATGGGTCTTTGGCTCTGCTGGGCTTCACAAACACTACTACTACTACTACTACTGCTGCTACTACTGTTACTACTACTGTTACTGCTACTACTACTACTACTGTTACTACTACTACTACTGTTACTACTAATGTTACTGCTACTACTACTACTACTACTACTATTACTACTACTACTACTGTTACTGCTGCTACTACTGTTACTACTACTGTTACTGCTGCTACTACTGTTACTACTACTGTTACTGCTACTACTACTGTTACTACTACTACTACTGTTACTGCTACTACTACTATTACTACTACTGTTACTACTACTGTTACTGCTGCTACTGTTACTGCTGCTACTACTACTACTGTTACTGCTGCTACTACTACTGTTACTGCTACTAATACTACTACTACTGCTGCTGCTGCTACTACTACTACTACTGTTGCTGCTGCTGCTGCTACTACTACTACTACTACTGTTACTGCTACTGCTACTACTACTACTACAGGCCCGGTGGCCTGGTGGGTAAAGCTCCCGCTTCACACACGGAGGGCCCGGGTTCGATTCCCGGCGGGTGGAAACATTTCGACACGTTTCCTTACATCTGTTGTCCTGTTCACCTAGCAGCAAATAGGTACCTGGGTGTTAGTCGACTGGTGTGGGTCGCATCCTGGGGGACAAGATTAAGGACCCTAATGGAAATAAGTTAGACAGTCCTCGATGACGCACTGACTTTCTTGGGTTATCCTGGGTGGCTAACCCTCCGGGGTTAAAAATCCGAACGAAATCTTATCTTACTGTTACTGCTACTACTACTATTACTACTGTTACTGCTACTACTACTACTACTACTGTTGCTGCTACTACTACTGTTACTGCTGCTACTACTACTACTGTTACTGCTGCTGCTGCTACTACTGTTACTGCTACTAATACTACTACTACTACTGTTACTACTACTACTGTTACTGCTACTACTACTGTTACTGCTACTAATACTACTACTGCTGCTACTACTACTGCTACTACTGCTACTACTGCTACTACTACTACTACTACTACTGCTACTACTACTACTACTACTGCTGCAACTACTACTACTGCTGCTACTACTACTGCTACTACTACTACTACTGCTACTACTACTACTGCTACTACTACTACTACTGCTGCTGCTACTACTGCTACTGCTACTACAACTACTGCTACTACTACTACTACTGCTGCTGTACTACTGAACTGCTTACTACTACTACTATACTACTGCTACTTACACTACTACTATACTGTCTACTACAAAGCACACAAGTGTCCCATGGCTGGGTTGCCAGCGCACTCGCCTCACACACTGAGTGTCCATGGGTAACCCTCCCCTGGGTTATCCAGGGTGGGTAACCCCCCTGGGTTATCCAGGGGGGGTTTAAAACCCTCCCCTGGGTTATCCGGGGGGGGTAACCCTCCCGGGGTTATCCAGGGTGGGAAACCCCTCCCCTGGGTTACCCAGGGTGGGTAACCTCCCGGGGTTTTATCCAGGGTGGGAAACCCCTCCCTGGGTACCCGGGGTGGGTAACCCTCCCCTGGGTTATCCGGGGTGGGTAACCCTCCCCTGGGTTATCCGGGGTGGGTAACCCTCCCCTGGGTTATCCAGGGTGGGTAACCCTCCCCTGGGTTATCCGGGGTGGGTAAACCTCCCTGGGTTATCCAGGGTGGGTAACCCCCCCGGGGTTTATCCAGGGGGGGGTAACCCTCCCGGGTTATCCAGGGTGGGTAACCCTCCCCTGGGTTTATCCGGGGTGGGTTACCTCCTGGGTTATCCAGGGTGGGTAACCCTCCCCTGGGTTATCCGGGGTGGGTTACCCTCCCCTGGGTTATCCAGGGTGGGTAACCCTCCCCTGGGTTATCCGGGGTGGGTTACCCTCCCCTGGGTTATCCAGGGTGGGTAACCCTCCCTGGTTATCCGGGGGGGGTTTACCCTCCCCTGGGTTTTTCCAGGTGGGGAAACCCCTCCCCTGGGTTATCCGGGGTGGGTTACCCTCCCCTGGGTTATCCAGGGTGGGTAACCCTCCCCTGGGTTAACACGAGCATTTATAACCCTTAACAAAACAACAGGAATATTTTTTCTTATAATTGGAAAATTCTCAATATTTCAAGCATTAATATTGTGTTTTACGTTGGTTTTAACATTGTTAATTATCCTGAGTTAATGTAGTAAAGGTTTAATGGTTTATAAAGGTATTTTAGAGGTTAATTAAGGGAAGATATGAGTGTTGGTGAGTCAGGAAGAGGGAGGTGAAGGTGTTATCTTTATGATTCATCTATAATAATGATAGAGGGAATTATAGAGATAGAGAGACATATAGAGTCAGTGAGGTGGCATTATACATACCCAGGGGCATCATGGCACCTCCAGCCACCTCATACCCTCTTATACCCGGCAAACATCTTCTTCTAGTATTTATTCTAACACCTGTGTTAAGTCAACACCTGCCAGCAGAACACCTGTCTACCCTAGTGGAGGAGAATTATACGTTGTGGTGCGGGTTTAGCGCTCATGATCTCACCTTCAGTGAAGATGAGAGTGAAAATGTGACTTTATTTGTGTCTGGTGAACCAGAGGAAGAAATAACATTAATGTTTAGCCACGATGGTGATAATATTCTCCAGGAAATACCCAATATTACTGTGGGTACTGATGGTGGGTATGTAGGAGAGAATATTACAGTGTCCCTAGTGGGTATTAGGGTAGGGCACACAGTCTTGCTGGTCGATGCCACCCCAGGCAACATGACTGATGTTTCGCAGGCGTTCGTTCGGGTTTCCGTCAACCATAATGATGATCTGGACTATTTTAGCGATGTTGTCGGGTGGGTTTATTTCACCGCTTGGTCGGTCTCCTTCTACCCCCAGATTTACATCAACTGGCGCAGGAAGAGCGTCATCGGCCTGCATTTCGACTTCCTCTCATTGAATATCGTGGGTTTTTTCATGTATAGTTTATTCAATGTTTGCCTCTACTGGGCCCCAGTCATACAACGGCAGTATTTTCTCAGGCATCCGTTTGGGGTTAACCCGGTGCAACTCAACGATGTCATATTCTCCCTTCATGCATTCTTCGCTTGCAGTATTCAAGTGTTGCAGTGTTGCATCTATGAACGTGGCGACCAACGCATATCAAAAACCGCCAAGGGAATTTTATCCGGCATCGCGATGGCCTCGATACTGATGGTTATACTGGGGTCGACTCAAGTTGTGCTCTGGCTGGACTTCCTCTATTTTGTCTCCTATGTCAAGCTCTTCATCACTCTCATTAAATATATTCCACAGGTAACTACAACTACCGTAATTTATTGTATGTGTAAAGTTTTCAAGGAAATGTCGCTGATGTCACCAACGACCCCAGTCACCCAGTGTTTACAAGTCTGTTTCCTCGCTGGTGGAAATTATTAAAATTATTAGCAAGAATTAACCTAGTAAGTTATTTTATTTAGGTACAGGTTCACATGTACAATTATCCTATATAATAATTTAATGTAAATTATCCATCAGGATAGCACAAAAAAATTAGACCTAACCTAAACCTACAATATTCTTGGATAACTTAATTATCAGCAAGAACTAATCTAGCGTAATATAAACCTACAATATTCTTGGATAACTTAATTATCAGCAAGAACTAATCTAGGGTAATATAAACCTACAATATTCTTGGATAACTCTATTTCACTAATTCGCAGACTTGCCGCTCTGATAACATCAATGAATGGAAACGTTGGTGACGTCTCCGAATATGTTAAGTTATGTTTCACACACTTGCCTTTATTACCATAATATAGCAATGTCTTCGTAAAATTTTGTTTCGGTTTTTAGTAACAAAATTAACATCCATGAAGGGGTGGAGGGTGGGTTACCTTGATTTTACATGGCTCTTGATCCAAGGAACTGCAGCTCCTCCCTCCCCCCTAGTTTGGATTGAACCTGATACTTCCCATTCTTCAGGTAAGTAAATAAATAAGCTTATTTAGGTACATGTCCACATAACTACAGGTATCATACACACTGACATATATGTAAATTACCTAAGATAACCCAAAAAAAGTTAAAGTGGCATATTTCCACTGGGGTCCTTTTATTTCCACTGGGGTCCTTTTATTTCCACTGGGGTCCTTTTATTTCCACTGGGGTCCTTTTATTTCCACTGGGGGCCTTTTATTTCACTGGGGGTCCTTTTATTTCCACTGGGGTCCTTTTATTTCCACTGGGGTCCTTTTATTTCCACTGGGGTCCTTTTATTTCCATGGGGTCCTTTTATTTCCACTGGGGTCCTTTTATTTCCACTGGGGTCCTTTTATTTCCACTGGGGTCCTTTTATTTCCACTGGGGTCCTTTTATTTCCACTGGGGTCCTTTTATTTCCACTGGGGTCCTTGTATAATCTCTATAGCTTTAACAATAACCATGAATACATATATATTATAATCCATATACTACTAACAAAACCATATTTTGTAGCCACCCTGATCTCTGTGATGAGAGATTGCTTAATAATTATGATAATAATAATAATAATAATAATAATAATTTTATTATTATTATGATAGGTTATAAGGCTAGAGCAAGACGTAAATAAGTTTATTTAGGTACAAGTACAAATAAGTACAATTATTGTATATAATAACATGTAAATAACCCTCGAGGATAACCCCCAAAAAAAGTCAGTGATTTGTTTCCGCTGGGGTTCTTGTAATATTACATTACAGCCTCTCCTCACTTAGTGATGTGCTCGTTTACCAACGACTTGGGCTTACAACAGGCTCCCTGACCAGTATGCATACCGAAATAATGTATATTAGAGCTGATTTCCTCTATTCTGTTTATTACAATGTATACAGTACACTACTGTAGTAAAAACATTAAAAAATACAGTGGAACCTGGGTTTTCGTGTGCCCTAGTTTGTATATAAAACTATAGTTATTCTCTGTAAAATGTATTTTTTTGTTAATATTTCCCATATGAAATAATGCAAATGCAATTAATCAGTTCCAGACAAAAATATTAACAAAAAATACATTTTATGGAGAATAACTATAGTTTTATATACAAACTAGGGCATGTGAAAATTGAATTTCTACTGAAGACTAGGAATGTTACAAATGGTACAAAGGTGACATTAAAACAATATTAAAGATGGTTGAGACACACCCACTACCATTATAGTATGATCCTCACTTAGCAACAAATTTATTTACCCAGGGCCCAGGCTCAGTCTTGGTTGAGGCAAGACATATAGACAGGAAGTTGGTGTGCTCTACTTGTTACCAAGAGGACAGGTCGAACTCATTGTGAGATACGTCACATAAGTCAGTCTCAACACCCATCAGCACCAACAGCATGTAGCCGTACCTGATGAGGTTTTAGGGGGTCAGTGTCCCTGTGGCCCAGTCTGTGACCAGGCCTTGTGGTGGATCAGAACCTGGTCAACCAGGCTGTTACTGCTGGCTGAATGCAAACCAACGTATGAACCAAAACCTGGCTGGTCAGGTACTGATTTTCGGTGCCTGCCCAGCTCCTTGAAAACAACCAGCGGTCTTTTGGTATTCCCCCTTACTGCTGGGAGGCAGTTGAACAGTCTTGGGCTCCTGACACTTATTGTGTTGTGTCTCAGCATATTCATGGTGCCGCTGCTTCTTAATGGAAATGTTGCATCTCCTGCCGAGTCTTTTGCTTTCATAGGAAGTGATTTTTATGTACATATTTGGGACTAGTACCTCTAGGATATTCCCAGTGTATATTATTATGTATCTTGCCTGCATTCCAGGGAATATAAATTAAGGGACTTCAACTGTTCCCAGTAATTTAGGTGCTTTATCATATTTATATGTGCCATGAAATTTCTCTGTACATTCTCCAGGTTAGCAATTTCGCCTGCCTTAAAGGGGGCTGTTAGTGTACAGCAGTATTCCAGATAAGAGAGCCATAAATGACACTTCTTTTATGTGTCCCTCAGTGTAGCATTCTGGGCCCTCGTCTTCATTTAGTGTCCGTGGCTCGAGTCCTGATATGGGAGGAAATCTTGGGCCTGTTTCCTTATACCTGCAGTCCCTGTTCACCTAGCAATACTATATAATAATATCTTTATTTCTACAAGTACGTACAGTGGACCCCCGCTTAACGATCACCTCCTAATGTGACCAATTATGTAAGTGTATTTATATAAGTGCGTTTGTACATGTATGTTTGGGGGTCTGAAATGGACTAATCTACTTCACAATATTCCTTATGGGAACAAATTCGGTCAGTACTGGCACCTGAACATACTTCTGGAATGAAAAAATATCATTAATCGGGGGTCCACTGTACTTGTACAAAGTATACAGACCATAGCTGACATCAATGACATACTACTGTATAGAAAGCCACTTGTTATGCAGAGCATTTAGGGCAAATTAGGTCAGTTTTGTCCCAGGATGTGACCCACACCAGTCGACAAACACCCAGGTATCCATTTTACTGATGGATGAACACGGACACCTTATATTGTGCCAAAACAAAAGCATTCACATTGCTAAACTCACAAATTATGATGTAGTCACTTAGCCTTAACATTAAATCCTTACAGATTATAGTATTAAGAATTAATCTAAGTCTGCTGGAAATGCCTAGCCATGCTAGGTGTCCTAGCCATGCTAGGTGTCCTAGTGGCGCCCTCTGTAATTAGTATTTTATAACATGTAAACCACAAATTACCCAAAACCTGTAAACCCCACATTGTAACCATTATAGAGAATAAACTTGAATTGAATTGAATTCAGTTGAATTGATAACTGGTGTAAGGAAACATGCCCAATGTTTCCATTCTTGCCAGGGATCGAACCTGGATCCTCAGTGTGTGAAGCGAGAGCTTTGACTACCAGGCCATGGGTCACCAATTGTAGGTACCTGGATGTTAGTTGACTGGTATGAGTCGCATCCTGGGGAACAAGATTAGAGGACCCCAGTGGAAATAAAACAGTCCTCAATGATGCATTGACTTTTGGGTTATCCTGAGTGGCTAACACTCCCTATCCTGGGTTATCCTGGATGGCTAACACTCCCTGTTCCAGGTTATCCTGGATGGCTAACACTCCCTGTTCCAGGTTATCCTGGATGGCTAACACTCCCTGTTCCAGGTTATCCTGGATGGCTAACACTCCCTGTTCCAGGTTATCCTGGATGGCTAATACTCCCTGTTCCAGGTTATCCTGGATGGCTAACACTCTCTGTTCCAGGTTATCCTGGTATGGCTAACATCCTGGTTCAGGTTATCATGGATGGCTAACCCTCCGAGTTAAAAAACAAACAGATCTTACCTTATTATTTATAACAATGGACTACCTAATTGCACCAGACATCTAACACCTGGACTCTGCTCATGACATCTAACACCTGGACTCTGCTCATGACATCTAACACCTGGACTCTGCTCATGACATCTAACAACCTGACTTCTGCTCATGACATCTAACCTGGACTCCTGCCATGACATCTAACACCTGGACTCTGCTCATGACATCTAACACCTGGACTCTGCTCATGACATCTAACACCTGGACTCTGCTCATGACATCTAACACCTGGACTCTGCTCATGACATCTAACACCTGGACTCTGCTCATGACATCTAACACCTGGACTCTGCTCATGACATCTAACACCTGGACTCTGCTCATGACATCTAACACCTGGACTCTGCTCATGACATCTAACACCTGAACTCTACTCATGACATCCTTAAATTCAAAATTCAAATACATACGTTATTTCTTTTCTTCAGTATACAGGTACAGTAGTTTACTTTTAATAAAATACTGTTAGGCACAAAAGCCACCAACATACAGTGTATTTTGGGCCTTGGTAGTATGAAGCCTTGACTTCTTGTATATAAGCACTTTACAGTGAGCTATAAGAAGGTTCACAGCTGATTGATTGCCAATACACTCACCCTTAATATTGAAGTAATATATACATATGATTTTTGCTATCAAACCACCCAGGATAACTCAGGATAAGGAGTGTTAGCCACCCGGGATAATCCAGGAAAGTGAGTGTTAGCCACCCATGATAACGTGGGATTGGGAGTGTTTGCCACCCAGTCATCAAGGGCTGTCTGTCTTATTTCGTATGTGGTCCTTCAATCTTGTCTCCAGGATGCAACCCTCACCAGTCCACTAACACCCAGGTACCTACTTACTACTAGGTGAAAAGTGACAGCAGGTATAGGGTGGCTAACACCTAGATACCTACTTACTACCTTACTATTAGGTGAACAGTGACAGCAGGTGTAAGGA